AAACTTTTGTGTGGAAAACCATTAACTTGGATCCACGAAAGCTTCTCGGCCCCTTTTACCTCATAAAAAGAGAAAAACAGGCCGACTGTGGGAACAATGTCCATCAGCTCACAAACTATTTCAAAGGCCTTTATAAAGCCTTATGTGTTAGGGCGGAGTTGCGAAGGCGCGACGTTCATGACCTTCAGTAAGTTGGCCTTGAACTCAGAAAAGGGTATTCGGATTCGGAAATCCTCCATAACCCCGACATAGAAATAAAAGAAATCTTCATCAGTGTTCTTCCTCCGAAGTACACATACGCGATCCCCTGAGACACATGACTCTAGGATGATATCACTTTCCTCTCCAGTTGAGGAGACCTTCTCCATGTCGTCATGCACATAATTCTTGTAACCCATGACCTCGACGTCAAAGGGGGCAGACACTTCCATCAGAAATTCTACAAGACCTGAAGAGGAAGAATCATGGTCAGGATCACTCAAAGAAGGGGGGATAAAGCCTTAAACCTCCTTTGTGACCTGATTAAACTCCTCATGGCCTAAAACATCCTTCATCTCTCGTGTGCATTAGTTCCATAAATCTTCCCTTTCCTCGGCATTAGAGGGTTTTACAACGTTTCCCTCACTTTCATGCTCTCTCAGGATAACCATGACCTAAAAAGTAAAACAAAAACAAAAGAGTAAAAAGGGAATACTTGGAAACAATGGAGAAACGCTTGAGGAAGATTGAACACTTTCTTTGAAGATATAACGCCTTTTGGAAATAACAAAGATAGAAAAAGAAAGAAGAGGGCAGGTTTTAATAGAGTCCATTAAACGGTACACTAGGCGTGGGGAACGTCACCCAATGGGCATATGTTTAGGTGGAAGTCATCATTATTTTAGGAAAGAGAAAGCGGTGACTCTTCATTTCACGACATATAGGTCATATTAAAGCAGCAATCCGATGGCGCCTACATTACCTTCCGCGACTACTGACAAAATACGGCGTCCCGATGGTAAAATTAATTATATCTCTTTGTCTTGTGGAACTCCTCTACATCATATGTCTTAAGAACCATCAAAAAACACTTTGAAATTGACCAAACTCATTGAAAAACACTTTCTCCACATTTTGCCTTGCATGTGTCGACACATCTAAGTTTCAGGTCGACACATATAACTTCGTTTTAAAGCCTGTGAGCTTCTGTAAGTCACAGGTCAACACATGCATCATATAGGTCGACACATACTGAAAGATTTCTGAAATTGTAGAAATTCTTATTTTATGTGTCGGCACATCCATATTTCAGGTCAACATATTTACTCACGTTTTAAAGCCTATAGTTACTGACTTGCTCAGGTCGACACATAGAGTCCTTATGGTCGACACATGCGACCTTTTTATAAAGTATGTATCGACACATACCATTTTGAGGTCGACACATAAATTATGTTTTGGTCAAATTTTTATTTTCTTTTATTCTGAATTCGTCTTTTATGACCTAAACTTTTCCAAACTATAAATACCCATTCATGCATCATTTCTAACTTGATGATACCATAAAATTAGCCTACCTTTTCTCTTCATTCATCCAATTTATGCATACACACCAACATTACATTGTGATGATATTCCGTAGGGGTGCCATCTAGACGAAGAATTGTAGATTTCTAATTGGTTTGGGTTGAGTTCTTGTAGGGGTCTTCATCCGAAAAAACCATCGGGTTTGTCCTCCAACATCATTTGTTAAATTGGGATTTTCGTGCAAGATCGTGCGAGAAGGAATCGTCCATGTGAAAAATCTCTTGGAGGGTTTGAAATCTTTTCAAGAAACCTTAAGAGTAGTTGAAATCTTTTCAAGGAACCTTAGAGTAGGAAGATATAATCGGTGATCTTGTGTTGATAGTTTGCAATCAGATTTACTCTGGTGAAAAATCCCTTGGAATATTTGAAATCTTCGCAAGGAACCTTGGGGTGTTTTAAATCCTTTTAAAGAAATAGCTTAAGCGGCTAATATGTTGCATCTATCAGTTGATTTGAACTTGCTTAAGATCAAAGGTTGAAAGAAGGAGCATCAACATCAAATTGAAGAATTTTGTATTGTTGTTTCTAACTCTTCCATTATATTAAACATTTTGCCTATAAGAATTATCCTAGTTCCATTGGAATTAGGCGTAGACATACACACATGCGAGGACGACAGTGGAGAACTGTGTACACAAATTCCTTGTGTGTTTTTACTTTTCCGCTTTTATTTGCTTTAATTTTCATCAATCATTTTAACAAATAGCATTGTGATAGTAATTGAATTGTAAGAATTTTCCTCTCAAAAACTGATTTTGAATTAAGTGTGGATATAGCTAATAATCATTTTGATTATAAGTGGTTTTACATATCAACACCACTCAAATTTTTTCTTTGATTATTTAGCCTTGAAAATAACATTGCAAAGTGATTGTGTTCAAATAATAAATAAGTGAACTGTTGTTTTGAATTTGTATTAACCAATTACTCAATTTTGTCTCAAAGGTTTATCTTTAATCATTTGTATATCTGAGTTTCCAATAAGTTATTTTTAGACGACTTATCCAGTTAATTGCTTCTACATCAAAAAGTTTGAAAAACAAATTAAATTCTAGATTTGTGTCTAGAATATTTTTTTGTGCTTCTATTCACCCCACCCCCTTTAGATACGCATTGTCGTCTAACATAAAGGACTTGAACTCGGAGGCTTATGTACATCCCGAAAATAATAGGTCCAACAGGTAACATAGTCGAAAGGACTAGATGTTCAGCCAGTAGTAAGCCCAGGGCAAAGGTATCAAGGATGCAACTCGGTGAAAGGAGTATTAGATTGTCCATGAACCCATATACCAACATATCGTCGTCATCTACTCGGATAAGGCAAGAAGCCCGGATGCACCTTCCCATGACCGATCATTACATCGGTCCATTAATGCCTGTAACCTAGGACGGCGCAATCATTACAACATTACACAGCTTTGATTCCCCCAATTTATGGAGACACGGAGGTTATAGAGTTATGAGACCCAAGAGTCACTCATTAACTGAGGCTCTTTGATGGTGCATATATACACATTATAAAGAGGCTCTCATGTGAGGGATAGGCAAGACATTCATCTTGGAACACGCGTTTCACTGACCTAGCTCCCAAATCCCCCAATCATCCTATAAACTTACTCTGGTAGCCTCTCTCAATCAACCCCCTGAGAAACCGGTCAGATATTTGTTCTACGCAAGAACAACTATAATTGGTAAAGATTTCTAAACTTCAAGTGGTGAGGAGAGAAATCACCTTTTATACAAAGTAAAATCAATACTCCCTCTGTTTTAAAATGAGTGTCGTTTTAAAAAAAAATTATTTCAAAATGAATGTCACTCTCATTTTTCAATTGTTTTCTATAATTATTATTTTGCACACTACTTTCAATAAATTAATTAGACTAATTTAGTAAAAGTACAATATCTCGTAACAATATAATTGTATTTCTTAATCTGTGTACAAAAACCTTAAACGATACTCATTTTGAAACAAATAGAATATTTTGTAACCCATACATACTAGCTAAAAGTAATTATCTTCCAAATGTCCAATTAAGAAGTTTAATCAAACAAAGAAAAGAAATTATAAAGAATGGTTTAATCATTTTTTGTCCATATTAAATAATGCTTCATTGTCATCAACTTTAAACAAATTCACTATCAACTTGCTATAATTGAGATTAAATAACTAATTCAAAATTTATAATGAACGGAAGGACAAGCCAAAAAGAGAAAATTTGGCTAAAACCAACACTCGTGAACTGTGACTTGTGACAACACAGGAAATTATTTTATTTTACAATAATTTATTCTGTTCCAGAAAAAGCCTTAAATAATAATTTTTCAATTAAAATAATAATTCGAAAAAAGAAAGAAATACTTATATTGTAATATGTTGCCTAGATATGCCTTCCCGTTAAAAGGTAAACGCGCATAGAGTTAGTCGGTACTGACAGCAGTGTAAAATGTGTAAAATTTAGAAATCTACTAAAACATATATGAAATTGGATATATTGATAGATAAATATACCAAAAAAATAAAAATTATTTATAATAGTATTCTGAGGGTCTGCAACCATTGAATTATTATTACAAGCAAATTTTTTTTTTGATATATTTGATTATTATATATATATATATATATATATATATATATATATATATATATATATATATATATATATATATATATATATATATATATATATATATATATATATATATATATATATATATATATATATATATATTAAATATATTAATAAGAGAATAATACTTATGTAAAATTACTTTACATGTATTTAATTAATTAAATTATGACATAGAGATATTTGACACTATATTTTATGAACAATCCAATAAAAGTGATATTATTCTCTCTTTTTAAAAATAATTGTCATTTTAACAAATGAATTTTATTTCAAATTGAGTGTAATTTATTTTTTTAATTGTGTCATTTACTTTTTACTCTCTATACAGTCCAATATATTAATAGAGATAATTTTGTAAAAATGTAATGTCTTATGACAACATCATTATATTCCTTGATTTGTGTACAAAAACTTTTAAAAAAAGTCATTTTGAAACCGATGAAGTATAATATTATTTTATTGAATATATAACAATTAATCTCTATTGCTTCATCTATTCCACAATGAGTGACTCAATCTCTATTGCTTCATCTATTTCACAATGAGTGACTCAGTCTACTATTTCTCACATATTAAAAAAAGTATAAAAAAATAAGAGAGAATAATATTTTTACTATAATACCCCTAATATATATTGAAAATAATGAAAATTTAATTAATTAAAAGATAAAATTAAAAAAATATATTAAAAATTGAAATTGATCATTCATTTTAAAATACTATTTTATTCTAAATAACTCATTCCTATCATAGAACGGAAAAAGTAATAATCAAATAAGTGTATACCAAAAATAATCAAATAAGTGTATATCAAAAAAAAAAAAATTATTTATAATAGTAAGCGGAGATGAACTTAGTAATAACAAAAATAACAGTGAGAAAATAAAAAATGACAAACCTCATGACCCTATTTACGCATGTCACGGCGAAGAACTATATTCTCTCCAAGTCTGCAACCATCCCTACATACACCCTCCTCATCACACTTTATTAACTTTACCATACCCACCAACCAATTACAGTACTTTTACTTTCTTTTGCTCCCTCGAATCAATGATGAACAATAATCAACGTTCACCTGCAAAAATTCGAAACCCCATTATCTCCGAGAGTGTAAAAGTAAAAACTAAAAGCAACCACTAACAACAAAAGAGTTAACACATTAAATAATCATAACGTTACATAATCATAACGTTACAGTACCAAAACAAAGGACCAAGTAAAGTTGAAGTAAGATTCTTATTGTAAAATGATAAATTAACTTTCATAATTTTCTACGGTATCAGTCAAAACAAGATTAGAATTGAGAATCACACACCCAAATATCTATAAGCATTTTACAAAAATTTCAAAAACAAAAAAAAGTAGATAGATATTTATGATTGTTTTTAGCCAGTGAAGTGCGCCCACACATGGCAGCTGTCTCCAGCCCATTTCCCTCCCAATCAAATACCTCCCCATTTCCTATTCTCCCTTACATTATTACTTTACTATATAATCTTGCTATAATCTCGATAAATCTTAAACTTACACCACCGTCTCCACCCATTAAAATAACACCTTAAACCAAATTCAACACTCCCCATATAGAAGTGAAGTGAGTGTGTCTCTCTTCACAGTTCTATTTTTTCTTCTCACAGGCATTTTATCAAACATGTCACCGCTACAAAGTTTGCTTCTATTTCTTTCTATAATCCTACTCTTTTCACTTGCAGTAAGTGAACAAAATGGAGATTTTCAAACGCTAAACACAAAATTCAATCCTAAAATCCCACTTCCACCACTCAGAACCCTATCTTCCTCAAAACGTTTTGAGGGGTCTTCAGATCTTGTTAAACTCAAGTACCACATGGGACCGGTTCTCTCTTCTCCGATCAACATCTACCTAATCTGGTACGGAAACTGGGCTAGACCTCATAAACAGCTTATCAAAGACTTTCTACTTTCAATCTCCGACACCACCGCACCTCACCCCTCTGTTTCCGACTGGTGGCGCACCGTTTCACTTTACACAGACCAAACCGGCGCAAATATCTCCAACTCAGTCTCCATCGCCGGAGAATACGCTGACAGACGCTACTCCAACGGGAAGCATCTCACGCGATTGTCAATCCAGGATGTAATCGCAACGGCAGTACGATCCAAACCTTTCCCGGTGGATCACCGGAAAGGAATCTACCTAGTTTTAACGGCGGAGGATGTTACGATGGACGAATACTGCCGCGCGGTGTGCGGTTTCCACTACTTCACATTTCCATCAAAAGTTGGTTACACGCTACCCTACGCTTGGGTAGGAAACTCCGGAACACAGTGTCCGGAAGTTTGCGCGTATCCATTCGCGGTGCCGGAGTACATGGCAGGAGGTGGACCGGGGAAACTCACGCCACCGAACGGCAACGTCGGAGTTGACGGAATGGTGAGCGTGATCGCTCATGAATTAGCGGAACTCTCATCGAATCCGTTGGTGAACGCGTGGTACGCAGGTGAGGATCCAACGGCGCCGACGGAGATCGGCGATTTATGTGAAGGATTGTATGGTACCGGCGGTGGCGGCGGTTACATTGGGGAAGTAATGAAGGATAAAGTTGGAAGAACGTTTAATCTTAATGGGCTTAGGAATAGAAAGTTTTTGATCCAATGGGTTTGGAGCCCTATTTTGAATGCGTGTGCGGGTCCCAATGCTATTGATTTGAATTGAGTTGAAACTTAAACTATTCATTCTTTTCACGTCATACTCTACCTTCCTACTCCTTCCCTATGGTTTTCTACTAGCTACCCGCCACTACTGTATCATGTATAGTATGTAATTTTATTTTCTCTACTTGAGGAAAATCATAATATATTTTTAGAAGTGCTTTTTTTTTTTTTATACTTTGCCCTGTTATTTTGTGCAGTCCTCCTAACTCGTGACTTTTGATATTCTGGTAAACAACTTATCATTAAAATTATAGTCAGTTTGTTTAATAATGAAAATGGAAAGTTCTTTTTAGATGAAATTGATAGATTGTAGTAACATCTTATTAGTATTAAAAAGTTTTAATTTCATTAATGATCATGTGCCACTTGCATACTCAAACTGCATTCGCTGGCTTTTTCCTCCCTTGGGTGATGTGACATGACTTTTTCCTCTTCATGTGAAGGTGCTGCCCGTCATACTTACAATTCGTTTTGGTTTTTTTCTATAGAAATTAGACAGTTGTTCAGTTAAGGGTTTGAGAAGGGTTGCGTTCCAATTCATCTTTTCAACCAGGTTTGGCGTTAATCCAACACATTTGTGATTCCTTACTTTCACAAGACTCACTGAAGATATTAGTAGATTATATGCATTATACATAGTCTATTTTCTACTTCTTTGTATAGTCCAACTAACTTACTTGTCATCTAATTATTAGGTCTAATTCTTGTATATATATAACCTTATCTTGTAACTACCAATCACATAATAGAATAACAGATTTTATCTTCTTCCTGACTTATCTTTTTTTCTTGCCAAGTTTGTTATTCTGTTACATTTTCTTGCCATAATTAACATGGTATCAGAGCATCAAAAGCTCTTGTAGCCATTGATCTACCCTTTTTCTTTCTTCCTGATTCTTTTCTTGGAAGCTCTCTTCTTCAATCCTTTCTTGTTTTACCTACATCGAGCTTCATCTAATCTTCTTGTTTCTTTCAATGGCAAACCAGAGCTACGCCGATTTCGCAACCAACTTTGCAAATCCATGCTACCTTCATCCGAACGAGAGTCCCGCTCTCATTCTTGTTTCACCGTCTCTTACTGATAAGAATTATCACACCTGGTCCCGTTCAATGCAGATTGCTTTAATCTCCAAGAATAAAGAGAAGTTCATTGATGGAACTCTCATCAAGCCACCCGTCTCTGATCCATTGTATGCCCCATGGATTCGTTGCAACACCATGGTGTTCGTGTGGATTCACCGATCGATTTCAGAGTCTATAGCTAAATATGTCATTTAGATTGATAACGTTGTCGGTGTATGGAAGAATCTGCAAGTTAGGTTTTCTCATGGCGACATCTTTCGCATCTCTGACATTCAAGAGGATCTGTACAAGTTTCGTCAAGGTATGCTTGATGTTTCTAACTATTTCACGCAATTGAAAGTCATGTAGGATGAATTAGAGAACTATCGACCCATTCCTGTTTGTTCTTGTACGATTCCATGTGCTTGTGGTACTATTGCATCTGTTAAGACGTATAGGAAACAAGATTATGTCATTCGTTTTCTCAAAGGATTATCAGAAAAATTTGCACACTCAAAGTCCCAAATTATGATGATGAATCCTCTCCCCAATATTGAGAAAGCTTTTTCACTTGTTATTCAGCAAGAAAGAGAAATGGATAGTTCTGTTGCTGGTATTGTTTCATCTACAGATTCCACTAAAGAAGTCTCTGCTCTTCAGGTTCAAACACACTCAGGAAATTTTGGTGCTAAATCTGGTAATAACAGTTATTGTGCTAAGCATCAAGGTTCTAGTGTTGCAAAGGGAAATGCCAGATTGTGCACACATTGTAACAGGACAAATCACACGATTGAGACATGCTTTCTTAAGCATGGATTTCCATCAGGTTATCGACTTAAGGGAAAGAATCAAGGGAATGCTCAATCTTCTTCACCTGTTGCATCTGTTTACAATGCTTCTGAGTCTTCTCCTGCGAGCTCCACTGCAACCTCGTTTGGTTTCACTAAAGACCAATATGAAAGCATCCTAGCATTACTTCAACAATCCAAGCCCAACCCTACAGCTAACTCAATATCAACCTCACCTTTTATTCTGAATTCTCATTCCTCCAATGTTACTGGTAAGAATCCCTTTCTCTGGATCCTAGATACTGGTGCCACTGACCATTTTTCTTTCAATCTTTCTTCTTTTACTGATCATAAATCTATAGTTCCTATACTTGTAAATATGCCTGATGGTTCACAAGTTCTTGCCTCTATATCTGGCACTGTTACCATATCACCTTCCTTAACCATACACAATGTTCTTTATGTGCCTAGCTTTCAGGTTAATTCGATCTCTGTATCAAAGCTTGTTGATCATAATCAATGTTTTGTTCATTTCAATGCTAATGCTTGCCATATTATGCAGAATTATTCTAAGGAAATGACTGGTATAGCTAACTTGCACATAGGGCTCTATGTGCTTGATTCCATTCCTCCTCATTCTTCTGCAAATAAATCTACTACTCATACTTGTAATTTGTGGCATTTGCGCTTAGGTCATATTTCCAATATAGGCTTACAAACTGTTTCTAAGTTTTTCCCTTTCATTACATGTAACAATTACAGTGTACCTTGTGACTCTTGTCACTTTGCTAAACAAAGAAAACTTCCCTTTCCTAATAGTACTTATATGTCTTATGTTCCTTTCAATATTCTACATGCTGACTTATGGGGTCCATATTCCACCATTTCTACTTCAGGCCATAAATATTTCTTGACCCTTGTGGATGACTACTCAAGACATACTTGGGTTATATTTCTAAAAATTAAAGACCAAACTAAAACAAGCCTCATCAATTTTATAGTCTATATTGAAAACCAGTTTCAAACAACCCTTAAATGTCTGAGATCTGACAATGGAACTGAGTTCATAGCTTTATCTGAATTTTTTCTTTCAAAAGGCATAATCCATCAAAATACATGTGTTGAGACACCCCAATAAAATGGGGTGGTTGAAAGAAAACACCAGCATATACTCAATGTAGCTAGATCCATCTTTTTCCATTCCAATGTTCCCCTAACTCTATGGAATTTTTGCATTCAACATGTTGTCCACATTATTAATATACTACCCTCTCCTCTTCTTCATTCAAAATGTCCTTATGAACTCTTATTCAAACAGCCACCATCACTAATCCATCTAAAAGTGTTTGGTTGTTTATCTTATGCCACATCTCTTCAAGCAGATAGAACAAAATTTGCCCATAGAGCCAGAAAAGCAGTTTTCCTTGGATATCAAGAAGGTACCAAAGGTTACATTCTTTATAACCTTGAAAACCACGATATTTTCATCTCAAGAAATGTCATCTTTCATGAAAATGTTTTCCCTTTCAATACCAAAATTACATCTTCTCAAATTACCTCAAAATCTATTTCTCAAAATCATGACTTATATTCTGA